ATGTAAATGTCAGATTTGGTTTGGACGAGAAGGTGAGGGTGAACCTCTCTCTCTGAAACCCCCTGGACCCGCCATGGATCTCATGGTCGTGCTAGTCCCTCTCCATCATCGCAGGAGAGAAATATGGACGGTTACAATACTGCTTTGTCAGACTCGAGGGAGCTCGACAACATAGTTACAACATGCTGCCATAACAACGCGAGAAGCCAGCAGGTACATACAGTTAAAAGTACGAGAGAGTGTTAAGCAGGTTCTTCAAGTGGCGTCTCGAATGCATACGCGCGCACACAATCACACGCACATACGCACACAATACCCAAAGCCGTACGATCATTAAAACTTTTGCACATTTTAGAAAAAAATTGATTCTTATCAGAAAAGCATTCCTAAAAGTTTGCTTAATTGATTACATAACAAATAAACAATTAACAGCGAATATATCTTACACAATCAATTAACGTGAAGAAAAAAAAACATTAGGTATAGGGACGTAGATAATAAAATTTAAATTCAACAGGTTGTATAAAATATGAAATGTATCAGCTAATAGATTCGTAAGATTCGTATTTTAATTTAAAATAGATCAACGTTCGTTGAATTTCTTATTAAGATGATCATTATTCTCACCAAATATCTTAATGTATTCAGACCTTTTCCTCATACTATAGAGACCATATTGCCTCATATATTTGTTATTCTTAGTTTAATCTCTATTCTTAATTACTCAAATTTGATGGGTTGTTCTCACAGATATACCTCATTTCCAACGTTTCCTCGTCATAATTCTTCGTTCTGAACTACCTTTGTTCGTCTTTAATTGATCGATGACTCAAGATGTGCCACTGTTCATCGGTTAACCACGTGAGGGTGACTCAAGAGTTCGAAAAAGAGAACGGAGGAGAAAAATATGAAGATGAAGAAGAAAAAGAAGAAGAAGAAGAAGAAGAAGAATGAAAGGAAGAGGAAGAAGAAGAATGAGACGAAGAAAAATAAGAACATCAAAATACCGAAAGAATCAAAAGGAGACAAGCAAATGGTCGATAAATATATCGCGTATTATGGCTATATAACGTTCTTTGTTCACGATGATAAAGGAAATGAATATCAGCTTGCAGATAGTGATTACGACAATAGAGGTAGAAAATATTTGATATGATCTCTGTAAGGATGACAAAAATTAAGAAATTAGGAGAACGTCTTTTCAAAGAAAATAATAGCTGTTCATCAACCCATTTCTTTCCGAATCTTCCACATAATAGAATTAAAGATGAAGTTGAGAACTAGTCATGCAATTACGTATGTGAAAGAAGCTTTCTATAACCAACTGGGAAAGTTTTAGTATACATTATGTAGTAAATTACAATAATTCTACACTGAAAAGTTTTGAGGACACTTTTTTTTTTTTTTTTTTGGTCTCGAAATTTGGAAATTTGACATTTTGCTCAGTTGGGGGGGGGGTAAGGTCACCTTTTTTAGGTCGGCCGTGGGCATAATTTTTTTTTTTTTTTTTTTTTTTTTATTACAAAAAAAAAAAAAAATCAAAAGGGGCGGGGTTTTAGTTTTTTTTAGGAGGGTTTACATACATAAAATTACCAAAGGGGGGGGGGTAACCCCCCAAACCCTCCCCCCTGCGTACGCGCCTGGCTATTTCAGACTACACACAAGTGGTTGCATGGTCCACAAAAGTCTTTTCAGTTATTTCTTGGCATATTTCGAATAATCGGGCTATTTAAGAGCAGCTTTCAGGGAACATGACAGTATGGTAACCTTCCAAACTGACACAGAAATAATACGAAAGTTCCCCAGTTAATCATCATATTACCAGAACGCGACCTTCTCTTTAAGATTCATCATGATCTAGACTGGTCAGTGTGCTGTCTTCCACTTCCTTCCGACGTCATTCTCAATATCCTATCAGGAATAACCTTAGTAATAAGTGCTGCATGTAGACAAGTAGGTGGAAGTTTACAGGAAAGGGGGTCTTTCATGATAGTGTGGTCTGCATTTTTGACGTTCTCCATCCCGTTGCAGTCATGTTGACCGCTCACCTTTAGATGTTTCTAAAATATTCTATAATTTACACATTTGTTATCATTTGATATTCGTTTATACACTGTGCATCGTCGTTGTAAATTTGCAATCTTTTAACGAAAGATGTATGACAACAATTACATTGTTTACAGAAAATTGCAGTAATCATTGTGAAAGAGCTTGAGATGATCGTACAATAAACATGTTAAAATGCATTAGTTATGTTCCTTCTTTTGATAACATCACTGATGCCGTACAAAGCATCGCTACCCGACCCTGACATTGTGTAAAATTTCGTAAAATATTCCAGTGACGCCACTTAATGATGAACTATCTTCTCTGCCTGTGTTTAGTCGATGACTCTCGAAATCTGTTCCTGACCATCTTTTTCTCGATGATAATGACCATCCTTCCTAATCATCTAACTTGGCTTTTCATAGTCATATCGAATGTCAACGGGTCTGGAAGTTGGACCCAATTCCTGAAGGTCGAGGTCAGGGGAGGGCTTCATCGTGTTTTTGTTTTATTAATAAACTAGAACACGCTGGAAATAGGGTATACGTAATACTCTTAAAATGGAATGCTAACTATTGAACATGAGGGATGAATTGAGAGTCCACTACCTCAAATAGCAATCGGGGATGAGAAGTGATTCTCCCTTTTCTTTAAGAGTTAAAGGAGTATCAAACTCGATGTAAAAGTTATTTGATTAATACGGACATCAACTTATTTCTTACTAAATGTGTCCTGGATTAATGGGAGTGTTTATCGCATTTCAATACTTCGATTACGAAAATGTTTTTAAAAAAATCATCGCTCTTCCTTAGCCTAACATCTTAATTGTTCGAATGAATTTCAAATGGTTTCCTTGTATCCCGAACAAGTATATTTATACAATATTATTTTGTCGACATGAATGCCGGAGTTGTGTTCTCTACATCTTTTTTTCTGTCATTGTATGTATCTGTATGTTTGTCTCTATCTGTTCCCCCTCTCTTTATATATCTCTCTCTCTCTCTCTACCCCTCTCTCTCTCTCTCTGTCTTTCTCTCTCTCTCTCTCTCTCTCTCTTTCATTTCTACTTCTTCAGGCTTTCCCTTAGCTTTCAAATCATTCCTCCTTCCTTCCAGTTTTCTCCACTGGGTTCGATCAGCGGACACGAGCGGGGCAGGGTATACTAAATTTATCCCTCCGTGAGTCATTACTTAAATTAGTGAGTTAGGGCAGACATTATAATTTCATGTTGTTCTTGCTGTCAGTCCCTTGATACTCCGTGAAGGGTGAGTTGTGCAAGGGAGGGAGTAATGTAGAGAGAATATATAAGAGCGAGACAAAGACAGAGAGAGGGAGAGACAGATTTAGGGATAAAGAATGATACAAAATAAGAATATACTGACAGAGTAAGGGAGCAGCAAAAAAACCAAGGGATGCGAAATAGAAAAGAGAGAGGGAAAGAAAGAAAATAGAGAGGCAGAGTGAGAGAGCGAGAGTAGTGAGAGCAGTGGATAATGAGAAGGAGAGAGAGAGAGAGTTTGAGTTTGAGAGAGAGAAAGAAAGAGAGAGAGAGAGAAAGGGAGAGGGAAAGAAAGGGAAAGGGAGAGTAGAGAGAGAGAGGGAAAGAGAGAGAGAGAGAGAGAGAGAGAGACACACACACACACACACACACACACGCACGCACGCAGACAGACCGAGACAGACAGACAGTCATACAGAGACGGAGACAGAGACAGAGACAGAGACAGAAAGACAGTCGATGGAGGCAGCCAAACTAAAAGAGGGCGATATAATATAGACATCGGGAGAGATCAAAAAGTTAATGAGAACAACTGGAAACACACGCATAAATAAAACCTTAAATATTTCAAGAAAGAAGTAGAATTTCAACATGGGAATTGTTTGAGCATGCTCATCTTCATCTTCTCTGATTATTGAATAGCGCCTCAATTTTAAAATGACTGTGGTCATATTTCAAGTTTATTTACCTTTGTTCTATGTGTATGAAATAACGGGTTATATATTTTATAACCAGACTACTGAGACAGATGTCTCTTTTTCGGAGTCAGAAGACCGAAAAGAGAATGCGAAAAGAATCAGCAAAAAATACACGATAAGAGGCCTGTGTCGAAACAACGAAGAGTATTTTAGAGAAGGGTACGATAGAAAAAGGAGAAATTGAAAAAGAAATAAGATACAAAAGCGAAGGAAGAATAAACGGAAAGCAACCTGATACTTTTCAATGACAAAAAAAAATCCTTCTCGCAGTAACTATCTATTATCATCACTTTTAATGATCGAGTTACTTGTTGAATGATACAGCCTGCATCCAATAGGGGAGCACACGAGAACGGATGAACATGGAGCTAAAAATGAAGCGCTGGGCTGCCCTGGCCGGATGCGGCGGGAACATGAGTTGCAGTTGCCATGGCGACGCAACTTTTTCCAGCACATTTAAGAACCACTAGTGAATAATACCCTTCCAATGAGTCCGAGTTGAATCACAACTTCAAAAGTGTGTCGGATCTGTCATCGATAGATTCTGATTCTGAACACACAGAGGAGTTGGGAGGAGCAATTCTATATAGCAAACCGAATATATTCGGAGCTTAAATCGCCGAGGATTGTCAAGGGGCAATAGCTATGATATATCGGTAAAATTGTTTACTATAGGTGAACTCTGTATTACCCCAAAATCGTCTGAATCAGCTTATTTTTGGAATATTAGAAAACTTCTTGGTCTGCGCCTTTCGAAAGATGTAGATTAGGTTTGTGCATCTATATCTAAAGTCGTCACTTAAATATTCATTCTGATTTTTTATTGTTATTATTATTTATGAATCAATACTAATTATATCGTTTACGTCTTTTTCTCATATCATGTTCTATAATATCATGTCATTCTGTGGTTATATATAGTCATGTATAACATCTAATAATCGTGACACTTTATTCTATTTTCTTGACCTCCACAGCTAAGAACTACCGCGTCCGCTGCGGTCAAGTCACGTGTAACCGCGGTCAGATCTGCGACGAGCAGACCCAGTCATGCGGTTGCGAACCGGGCTACCAAGGGCCGAGATGTGATCGCAAGTGTGGACGGGGTCGTTATGGTGTGAACTGCCAGGGACTGTGTGCATGCAGTCATCATGAGGCTTGCCACCACGTCACTGGGACATGCAGCTCATCAGAGGTGGGTTCCTTGATAGAATAGTCGGGGACATCCCAGTAGAATGACAGCTCGGGAGACTGACTTGTCGGTATACTAGGCTGTCGGTCGCCTAGGCTGTCGGTCTCTGGTGAGATGCACATTGCAAATGAAATAAGACTTTATGCGACCAAGTTTATCACTGAATGTGCTGATAACCCGATATCAAATGCCCGTCCCCCCCCCCCCCCCCCCACTCAGTGTTATTTAGGGTACGCATAATTTTGTTCCCTCCTTTTGAAAACACCTAAGTCCGGTGTGTAAAGTCAATTTTGTGTATGTACGAGCCGGACTTTGGTGCGTGAAAAGTACCCCTTTACCGGACATTTTGGTAACACGCATGCGGTCATTCCGACCCCGGAGTGGGGGGGGGGGGGGGGGTGGGGGCGGGATAAAATGATGTACGAGAAAATGAAAAGCTACTGTAGATATTTGCAATTAATGTGAAGTGGAGGGAACTGCGTTCTTATTTTGGCAAGATAATAAGTAAAAGGGACGGTCATTCCATAAAACCTGTATTAATGTATGTAATAGCTTATTTGCTGCAGTTCATTATCTAAATAAACTTAAAGTGTGAACAGAAGAGTTCTTCGTAAAAATAAAAAAATTCTACTGCATTGATGATCCTGCCATCATTGCGCGTTCAACGGGCATCCAAACATACATCGAATGTTCCCATTGATATCTATTCCGTCGCCTAAATATGTCAGCATTCAACCGTGAACTTTGAAATTTAGTTACACCACTTCTTCCACATCTCAGGATGATGTAACTGTACAACTATGTGAAGTTCATCTTGTAGTGCCCTGAATAAGATATGCAGTTTTTTTATGCCACATTTTGTTTATTTCTATTTAACCAATCCCTTCAGTAGTCGTGTCATTTTTTTCTCGATCACGAATGAGTTAATATCTTTCCTATTAGATCTTTACAAAATGTCACAGTACACATAAATCCTTGTATATTCCCAATCAACCTTTCCCAATGCTTCAAGACATCTATCACAATGCAATGACATGAATATTACTTAACTCCTGTCCACGCCATTTCCTTCATAATATCTTAGGATGATTCTGATGGCGATGAGATGGTCAATCCTCTACGACCATACGACCGACTACCACCAGGTAACGGTACGGCCATGTGCCGTTCATCTTGTGGTGTGCTGAGCAAGATAGGATGCACCTGTGCGCTGGATGGAGGAACGTGTAAATGTCCAGGTGAGTCTGAAGACATGCAGGAGTTGTAGACGGAAATGTTTCGAAATTAAATCAATTAAAGGTAGACGAGACTTTGGGTAATAATGTGACGTGGGCTTCTCACAGACTGAAGCGAACGGAATCTACTCTAAAGTAAAGAACTGCGCATGAATGATGTATGTAAGAAAAATGAAAGAATCTATGTACCTATAAGCCTAATATATTCATGCTATAAAAAGTATACTTGGTAAGTACACCAACCCTGTCCACCAGAGTATGGCCATTTCACTGGATTAAGATGCAAAGTAAACCTTTAACTCACTACAATGATGATCAGTTCATAGGCTCTGTTTTTTTCTTCCAAATGTAATTTCCAAGTTCTCCATATCTAAAGATTACCCTTGAAAGAGAGTCAAATTGTATTCAAATAATCTACAATTTTATTAGCCTATCCTGCATGTGGTCAAGAATGTCTGGACAGCTTGACCATGTAAAAGATCTTTATTTCATGAATAAATCTACAGACAATGTAACTTCAGTCATGGTACATGTAGTTACACATACTTTCTGTTTTATTTACCTCGATCTATTGACTTTGTTAGGTTTTGTGCTTTTACCGTTGTAGAAAGTAAATGACTTATTACTCATATCTCAAATTATGATGTTTCGTCAAAACTTATTTTCGACGCTAAACTGGACTATAGCGTTCTTAGCAGTGGTTTTTTTAATTTTGTTTTGAAATTGATCCAGCTTGTAATCCCACCATGATTTTTACTTACGGAGGAAATCTTCGCTCTTTTTTTTTTGTCGCCCTAGTTTTGAGCTGATCTACGCTCAGTGAATAGTGTGTGACACGTCTGTAGTTCATGACTTGCAGTAATGTACCGCCATACCTCATTGAATCAACGATAACGTAAACCATTTTATGGGGCCCACAACAGTCGAGAAGTTTGATGACGATCTCTATATGCTCTATGTCTAGGGTGTCATATTGACTAAAAAGGCATGTTAACTGTGTTTTTAAGATCTTATCAAAACACCTTCTTTCGTTTTTTTTTTCATGTCTGTTTTGCATGTTAACATCCAGATGGTTGAATATGACGAAATTAATCGCGAGTGCTCCTTCGCACAGCATTGATATGGCTGCCATTTTATATATACAGCCTTTGAATACATAATTGATGACATTTTGTCGAGTTACATATTTCCAGATTAACCCCCCCCCCCCATCAATCATATTCATATAGGATAGAAATACAAGAGTCTCAATAATGAAGTAATACTTTGATATCTGCTTCTTTCTTTCTTTCCCTTTCTTTCGTTCTATAGATCTCTTTTGTAGAAACAGCTTTTGAAATGATGTTTATTGGACATCCATCTAGTGCAAATTCAAAGAGTTACAAAAATAAAGGGGGGAATACTTTCTTACGTGCTTCTGGCAGTCGTCTACAGTTAAGCTATCTTACTGTTAATATCAACTTTCAAATCAAAGAAGTCTGACAAATTCGATTTAAGATGGTTTACCAACACTTGAAGGGAGCTTTAACGTTTGTTGGCAGAGCAGCCCGGTAATTAGAAAAGGCAGATCTTTCCCCCTTCGGTATTACGAGTAACGCTAAGACACCCTGTATATGGCGGGCGGAACATGCCATATACATGACAACTATACAACTATACATCCATTCGATGGATGTAAGGTTTTAACCAATCAGAACGCAGGAAACTGTACAACTATACAACCATACAACTATACGACTATACGGCTATGCATCCATCGAACGCATGTATAGTTTACGGCGTGCGGGCCGAAGTGCCATAATCAACAACCATACAACTATACGACTATACGTCTATAAAGCTCGGGTTTCAACTACTGCTCGTGCGGTGGTTTCTCTCTCCCCCTCTCTCCTCACAAAACAACTACTGCTCGTGCAGTGGTTTCTCTCTCCCCCTCTCTCCTCACAAAACAACTACTGCTCGTGCAGTGGTTTCTCTCCTCACATAACAACTACTGCTCGTGCAGTGGTTTCTCTCTCAAAACAACTACTGCTCGTGCAGTGGTTTCTCGATCTCTCCTCACAAAACAACTACTGCTCGTGCAGTGGTTTCTCTCTTCCCCCCCCCCCTTCCCCCTCTCTCCTCAAAACAACTACTGCTCGTGCAGTGGTTTCTCTTTCCCCCTTTCTCCTCACAAAACAACTACTACTCGTGCAGCGGGTTTCTCCCCCCCCCCCCCCCCTCCTCACAAAACAACTACTGCTCGTGCAGTGGTTTCTCCCCCCCCCCCCCCTCCTCACAAAACAAATACTGCTCGTGCAGTGGTTGTTTTGTGAGGAGAAAGGGGAAAAGAGAAACCACTGCACGAGCAGTAGTTGTTTGGTGAGGAGAGAGAAACCACTGCGCGAGCAGTAGTTGTTTTGAGAGAGAAACCACTGCACGAGCAGCAGTAACCCCTGGCTTTATAGACGTATAGTCGTATGGTTGTATGGTTGTATAGTTGTTGATTATGGTACTTCGGCCCGCACGCTGTAAACTATACATGCGTTCGATGGATGCATAGCCGTATAGTCGTATAGTTGTATGGTTGTATAGTTGTACAGTTTCCTGCGTTCTGATTGGTTAAAACCCTACATCCATCGAATGGATGTATAGTTGTATAGTTGTCATGTATATGGCATGTTCCGCCCGCCATACCTGTATACCTCTTTCAATCCCCAATCATGTTCTTCACTGCTGTGACACAGCGAAATATTAGCTGCCCCGGTTAAATCCTCACGATAAGCCTGTAGTATGAACTTTGATAGACCAAGACTGTCATAACAAGAAGAAAGGCGATTATTTCATCAAGATTGCACTTGTTTTAGTTTAGATGCTAAGGGGGCATGGGTTAACCCTTTATTTATTTTTTCGTAAATTGATTTTTTTTTTTCTTCATAGGTTGTTATTCATTTCTCTCATAAAGAAAATTGTATATAATTTATAACATTGTATACAAAATAACAAAATAATCTCACATAGGTTTAAATAAATTTGCAAGTGAACTTTTACATTTCCATACAAGGTTACAAATAAAGTTACACATAGTACAGATGAAAAATATTCACATAGCCAAAATTTTATTTTCATATTTTGAATAAATCGCAAATAAAGTTTGTACTATTTCTTCGACCAGCTTGCGTATAAATTTCAAATTAGTTCTTTTCTTTTCCACAATATTTTGTTTTTCATCTTAAATTTCCTTCAGAGAAAAAAGAAGGGTTATGATTTTAAAAAAGATAAATAATAAAAAGAAAAAGAAAAAAAATAGAGAACACCAACTACCCCCGCCCCACACAACATTTAAACACATAACAAGTACAACAGTATACAAAAAACACACCAACATAGAACAAATAAACAAACAAAAGAAAAAGAAAAGAAGAAGAGAAGAAAAAAAGCAAGGGTAGAGAAGAGATGAATTAGATTATTTGCCGATAAACAGTGGTAAGACATTTTAAACTCAATGCTTATTAAACGACATTATTCAAATTGTTTTCACGATATAGCCACAACTGTATACCGGAAACGTTTATATTACAATGCAAGATAAAATTAGAGAAAGTATTTAAAGTATTGACTGTCAAATTGCATGTCAAGCGTAAATAACAAAATAGAAGTAGGGAGTGGGCTGCCCTCTTTGGCTAAGTTTATACACTATTTCTTGTGTTATGTAATTATTGTTAATTCGATATGATTCTCTTAATTCAATACATGTACATCTTATACTATATCGGTAAGTTAATCAAATAATACACACAACGAATCAACATTTCCATTGATAAAAAATCCGATGAAAAAACATATAAACCTCAACAAAAAAACAAAATATATCTAATTCTCAAACCTAGGTATGTTTTAGGTATTATTATTCAAGTAGATCGAGAAAAAAAGGTCTTTGCAATTGGCTATGGTTGAACTCCCTCAGGCTCACTGTATACACGAAACTAAAAAATAGAATCGACAAGCCTTTTGTCGCCAATCCTGCAAACTCATACTCACTGATTTTAAACACATGCTTGAAAGAAACCGGGCAATGATCTATTTTCTTCAGACGGAGTTTTAATTAACACAGACTGTGAAGGTGAGGGTGACCTATTTTACGTGTGTGCACCCCTCTAACAGCAAAGGGCGAGTGGTTCGAACTTTCGGGCGGGGGTGGAATGAATATTTAGAATTTTCTAAAGATCTTTGACCATAAAATGATAGATATTAAATATATTACTCATTACGGATGTATATCGAAAATAATATCGCTAGTGATATTCGTTTGTCTCACAATGTATGTCAACAAGGGATCTAAAAGATCACGATGTTTCGTGCGCCGCTGCAACACTTCGTCGGGCGATATTGTTCACATTTCTATATGATGAGTTATTTCTGAGATGGTTTGAAAATTTGTTTCTTGTTTCTGAGATACAAAACAAGATATTAAATATAATTATTAGGTTCATGACAGAGAGTGGACTGCCCCATTGTAACATAATTGAATGGAAAAAACAGAATAAATGCAATGTAAAAAACTGGATGAAAAAATTTGACGAATACAATTATGATAACAAGAGATATTTGACTTTCTGTTTATTCTGGTGTTAAGTTTTGACTGAATATCGAGAATAAACGTAGTCATGCCCGAGTGAAAATTGTTGATACGATTGTAGCAGTCGAGAAAGGGCACATAATATTATGGGCAGTACTTTTATATAAAAAAACATAACTAGTTTTTGGCCTTCAATGGATTTTAAGAACTACAAACCGTTGTTGAGATCGCTTTTCTAAAAAGGGGATAACGAGGATTGATAATATTGTCCAAGAATGCTTTCATAGATTATCAAAAGTACATTCCACAAGGGCTCTTGTGCATATCCCCCCCTTTTTTTGCATTGTTTCTTTGATAGCTAAAGATTTTGTAATTATAAAGTTGCTGTCGTTGGTTAGAAGAAAAACGGATTCAATTTGAGAAAATGTGACCCCATACTGTATATCAAGAAATGGTGTGGTGGTGGTTATTTTACCTGACTGCTAAGAAAGCATAATGCTTGTGAGGAAGCAACAAGAAGGCCGACGGCTTTAGGTCCTCTCCGAAGGACCTGGTAATGAGGATTAATGCCTTACCAAAGGGCAATAGCGCATCGACTTGGTTTCGAACCCGGGTCACCGGATTACGAGACCAATGCTCTACCGACTTAGCTATCGCGCCTCCTCTGGCTTGAATATAACAACCATTACTCCTCGAAATAAGCTTGATGGAAACATGATGAAAATTAAACTCTTAAGCATTATCCTATGTCTTTAGTTATGTCCAAATGTTTACTTTTATGAAGCGAATAATTTAGATTAACAATTAGCAAATTAATACAATAAGAAAGCCATTAAAATTGATCACAATTTGAAATCAATTGTATAAATGTACTTATAAGGAACGTGTTAAGGAATTCGAAATGTTGGTTTAGATTTTGACTCGCACTTTAAAGGAAGGGTTTGGCCGACAAGCAGTGTTGGTGCTCCCGGCATGACAAGATATGTGTCATAGAATGCACGAACCAGGAAGATCGTCAGAATGATGCGGTTTGGGTGAGACAAAAACAAAATTGACCGTCTTGAAAATCCCTCAAGGATATTATATCTATCAATGGAAACCAAGTTACTTAAATGCATGAATCAACCGACTATACCTGTATATAGCTATGAAAAACTCTCTTAGGAATTCATCGGAACTTGTAAAATGAGTGTTAAGGACGAAGAGGACACATTGAAGGACCTTGTAAACATTTTATGACATTCTTGTGACGAAGAAATGCTCATTAAAAAGTTAATGATTTCTTTGAAGTTTGATCTCTTTGAATCACTTCGCCAAGTACGAGAGAAGGATGCGTGCTCCCCCCCCCCCCCCCCCCATTGACAACTGGCGAAAGTTGCCCTTTTTTTTGGTTATCCCACAGGCCCCCCCCCCCAGTCTCGTTTAAATTGCTTAATATTAACCAAAAAATATTCTCTTTGAAATTTTCACTAGATAAAAATAGACACTACATGTATAATAGACACATAATTATTTTAATGAAAAATCGTACGTGTTGTTGATAAATAACCAGTGTTAACAGCTAGCAACCAAAGACAATAACAATAATGCAGCATGTACCTAGAAAACTTAAGGCTCCACTGCCGTGGGGGACATTTAGAATATCCCATGGCGCCACTATCTCTGCACTAATCCCTGTTAATTAAGTATTCCAGAACCTAATCAAAGTACAATGTATATACCTGGGGATAGAGAATCTTGATAATTGTGCTAGACTCACCGCGAGCACGTCCTTTCTAGATCTAATCATTTGAGTCATGAATAATTGACACGCCGATGTACTGTGGTATGTAGACTTGTCAGGTTAATGAGGATGATCTACATGTAAACCCAGATTGATCCAAGACTTACCTGGTGAAGATTACACTGTGGTGTTTTCTTTAAAGTCCCTCGATGTATCGAGAAGAAACGGAGACGCCTTGAAAATGGTTTCTCGTTGGAATATCGCAATCTGGGGGATTCTAATGAAAATCTAAGCCAAGTGGAAAAGTAGGCATGATGCAACAGTTGTTAGTCAGAAGTTGTATTGCCGCATGAAGTCACATTGATTCGGTATCGGTGTAACAAAAAAAGAACATTTAATATAATACCTTTATCTTTTTCACCAAAAAATTAATGCAGGAGAAACAACAACAACATAAAAATATAAACCGTCAACAACAACAAAAACAACAAAAAAGTCAAATTTTAGCAACATCACATAAATCTCTCCGGTCTTAATTGGTTCGAAAATTCACATCAATACAGTTTCATGATTATTCACTTAATCAAACATGAGACGAAGAGAATGGGTTAAGACATGCTATACTATTCTGAATGTAAACTTCATTATCATGATTCCAGATGGTTGCCGACGCAATATCTCTACATGGATTCTCACTGATGATGAAATATGATTAACATCTTATGTTACATCTAGTAAGGTTTTAATCCGTTAAAAAATGAAAGAGTCTAAAATGGAATCGAAAGGAAAGGTTTATCAGTTTCAAGTTAACTCGGACAAAATATACCAACAACACATAAAGTAGGGGAAATTGTATTAATATAGAAATACTGTATTTGATTATTTCAAACGCAGTGATTTCTCGGCCTACCAGGAGTGGTGCTTACCGCCATAATCAGTGTCTCCAAAGAAAACTGATTTAGAATATGATGATGGGTGCATTTGCCTTTGATATATTTATTCTTCCAAATGCTTTGTCTGTAGGTTGGCCTACTTATTTTTTGTTCAACAACATCGAATACGAAATCATCCATTGTGCCTATTCCTTTTTTAAAAAATCTTATTTTACTGTATGCTTCTTTTATGTTTCTTTACAGGTTACGTCATCGCCCTATTTGTGGTTTCCATAACAACGTGGATAACACTCGGGGGCGTCTGTGTGGTGTGTAGCATCCGTAGGAGGCGCTATAAGTCTAAGATTGAATACAAACGGTGAGTCAAGCATCAGGGGAAACCCCCTCCGCCTCCACCTCCTCCCACACATACTTTGTTCTCTGTTTTATGTTCTCACATTAATTGTATGGTCTTTTATTTTATTCCCTTTCGTCATCAGACATATATTTGTTTTCCCTTACGGTTCAAAGTTCAAAAGCTTTGTAGTTAATCTCGTTTAGTTTCCCCACCTACAAGAGGTTAGAACATTCTTGATACTGTATTTAATTATCTGTTATATTCTTCACTGTGTAAACTCTAAGGGGATTCCCCTGCACCAAACGAAGTTGGACACATCAGTAGATGCCCCCAGGCAAACGTTGACAACGCCTTTACTCGTTCCTTTCTTTGCATTTCTTTCTTTCTTTCTTTCCTTGTTCTTTATTTCTCTTTCCTTCTTTCTTTCTTTCATTTCCTTCTTCTTTTAATTACTTGCCTTTCTTTTCTTTATTTTTTTTCAATACTTCAGAATAATCACATTGTTTCACTGTTCACCAATCTTCATTCATTGATATCCTTACTGTTTCTTATCTTCTTTTCCAGCGATTCGGATTACTGTGAGGAATTAGACTCGGACGATGAGACAGAATTGGGGGCCAATAGCACACAACCTACAACAGGTAATCAACACGAGTACAACTATAATTTATACTTTATCATCGTTACTTTATTATCGATGAATTTTCATGCAGCTTGAATTTAAAAGACATTGGTTTCAGTTATAAAAATGAATGTATATGGTACTGATTCCACTAGGTATAGGACATACACCCATAGATAAATAATGATTGACGAGTTTCTACAGAAACAAAACGAACGACTCCAAAGTATGAAGAAATACAGAACATCCTAATATATTGTAATTATCTCTAAATCTAACTTCACTTTAACGATATTATTAACAAACGATATACAATTTTTTTCATTCTATTTTAGTAACTACGGCATCCGAAATCAACATATCAGCAAACGAGTCCTCATTAACACCGCCACCATCTTTATTACCACCGCCACCACCACCACCAGCATCATCACCACCATCTTCATCACCATCACTACCCGTAAGACCACCAGATGCCAGCAAGCATCACGTCCGATTCGCCGGTAGCATCTCCACGCAATTCAAACACAGCCCCCCTCATCGAGATCCTCCCATTCCTGAACCAGCCGACTCGAGGAGTCTCGAATCTTCAACCAGCAGTGACGGTTCGCATGTGTACCTAAACGTAGACCGCGAAGACTCCATGTATAGCATTGACTATTCACATCCTTACGAGTTTCTAACTGGCCAGGATGGGGAGAATGGAATCTTAGGAGGGAACGGGGAAGATCCACTCGAGATGTCCCCAGAGTGTTTTTTATTACAGTACATGGTCCAACGACAAATGAGGGCGCTGAACAATGCTCCACATGGCTATGTGAATGACTCCGTCGCGAAATGGCAAGATAGGAATATCAGCAAGAGATTGTTTCCGTTTGGGCAGGTGCCGTTTCCAATGAACTCGAACACGCCCGCAGCCGTGGTCGTCGGTGCGGCGGCTACCCGTGGTCGTAACGAAGCACGAGAGATCCTTCAAGCCGCGTTCCGGCGAAACGGGAAACCAACAATCAAACCTAAACCAGATGTACTGAAACTCGTCCCCGCCAGCAAAAAGACTGGCCCACACCAAAGACTCCTCGAGAAATCCGAGAGTTTAGAATCGGAAAGTGAACATATGTTTATCAATGGTTGCTCGTTAACGAATGGGACCAACAGACGGAATAATAATCCCGATTCGAGAATTGACTCAAATAGTAATCCTAAAACGATATCGTGTCAGCAGCTTAGACCCATCGTTAAAGATAGAGCAGGATCAGTTCTAAGTCCATCAAAACTCAAAGATGAAGACGACGAGGGCGAAGATATGTTATCTCTTTCAGACGACCACATTTATGAGAACTCAAAAATTAGGAAACCATGCTACAGGGTCGCCAAATCGCGGAGTACAGATCAGTTGAGTTCTTGTTGATAAACCCTTCTTTTTGCTACATTTCAACCGTAATCAGCAATGAACAACAATTTTCTCCTCCATCTGAGGAAATTAAGAGAAGGATTCTATGGAGGAAAACGTTCCAGAAAATAAGGCCGTCATGTTAGGGGAGGGTGTGGGATGGAGTCATATCATCTTCTTTTCATGTTGCCTTCTTTCCCTTTTTTACCTTTCTAGGACACCTATCCCCTGGACATCCACCCCCGGATAACCACCCCAGTCAACTACCCCCTAGGACAACTACTCCCTGGGACAACTACCCCCCAGAAAACTACCACCCGGACAACTACCCCCTAGGACATCTACCCCCGGACAACTACCCCCAGACAAATACCCCCAGACAAATACCCCCTACGACAACCATCCTCTAGGACAACTATCCCCCGTACAACTATCATGGGGTAGTTGTCCGGGGTAGCTGTCTCGGGCGTAGTTGTCCTAGAGGGTGGTTGCCCTAGGGGGTAGCTGTCCTAGGGGGTAGTTGTCCTAGGGGGTAGTTGATTGGGGGTGGTTATCCGGGGGTGGATGTCCAGGGGTAACTGTCCGGATATGCTTTTCGACATGTTGTGTGTGCTCCAGCCACGTAGATGCGTTTTACTCTTGATTAATCAAAAATGAGAAGAAGAAAAGAATGAATAACATTTCCATACTACTTATCTCATGCTAATTGCTTAACACTGATCAAATGAATAAGACTTGTTATATATGTTTAAGTTAAAGTAAATCCTCAATATCATGTAAGGATATAAAAACCATAGTAAAACACATCATAAGTATAGAGCAGTGTTCAGCTAAATGTATGGTCAAATATATTTATATTTCATATTAATTCGTGTTGGTGATAATTATTTCCTATCTTTATATTGATAATCATCAACGGCATGAGGCTACTTATCTTCTCAAATCTTTTTTGTTCGTTATTAGTTCATTAATGTAAGGAATTATTATTTTATCATTCCATCCTGAATATCGGTGTCTGTCTTTATAATTGTTCACTTCTCTTTGTCATCCTCCGCTGTCTCTCTTAAATTTGTCTATATTGGTTTCATAAGATTGTGTCGGTCTGTCTGTCTCTCTCTCTCTCTCTCTATTTCTCTCACTTTCTCTCTCTGTGTCTGTCTGTCTGTCTCTTTCTCTCTATCTCTCTCGCTCGCTCTCTCTCTCTCTCTCTCTCTCTCTCACACACCCTTTATCCACATTTTACCCCTCCCCCTCACTCTCGAATTCCTATACTGAGTATACTGTAATACTTTTCTAGTTTGTATAATGAAATACAATATTTTCCCAGATATTTTCTTTATCATGCAGTGAGTTTTGTGAGCATATAGTTTATTTCATAGACAATTTTTTGTTGGTCATCTAATATTTTTAAATATTAGAACTTTCTGTAGAACATCAATGAATGGGGCATTATTTTGTTTGCATCATGCTACACTTTTCATGTAGGTTGAAGTAGACTCTTATGCGACGATCATGACCGAAAGTGAAATATTTCTGTACTTAACTGTGTTTATTATTACGATGTCATTTTTTTAAGAAAAAGGGACATGTACAATGTTGATAATTCAATATTTATACTTTTGAGATAATATAATAAAACATGAAATATTTTTCATGTCTGGAACCATCTCATTTACTTTGTCTTTCAATTCTTCCTGTACCACCAAGTTTAGTGTAAGTATAAGCTTATGACCATGTAAAGAACAAATGCGAAATTCTTTCGTGGAAAAATTTACTGAATTAATTAAAAATCTAATTTTCATAAGGGGTCAAGGTTTTTAGGACAGTTGTGATAGATGATTTCTAAAATGTGCATTCCAAGTCCCTGGTTTAATATTGCCTTTTGCACAACCCACTTTTGATATTCTCTCTCTCTCTCTCTCTCTCACCCACACATAAACACACACACGCATGGATGCACAAATAGAATAAAGATAAAACAGGTATCATTTAATAGCTAAAATGTTTGCATTTATGTTAAGTGTACTGGTATATCATATACTTATACGTATGCATTCAGCATGTCAATGCATCCAACCATTATTCATAAAGTATGTATGAAACGTCATGAAAATGTTTCAAATGCATCAACATTATTTAAGGCACAATTTACAAATGTAAAAAATTATAACAATGTCAATCACAATTTTTGGTAAAATTTCATGATATTTGTAATATACCATGCAGACCATACATTAATGAAGGTCTTGAGATGATTTTAAAATGTTTTAATGCATTTGAATGATAATAGAAAAGGTAAAATAATTATTTTCAGCTACAGGTAATAATTCATAATAATTATAGGCATTTCTATAGTGCCGTCTATCTAGAAATTCTATTCCGAGGTGCATTAATTATTACCCTGCCTTTAGCCTAGCTACCATTACAGCGCTCCAGCATTTCAAGGAATTAATTCCTGCCAGGTACTCATTTACCTCACCTGGGTCTAGTGTGGCAAATGAAGATTAATGCCTTGCCAAAGGACATTAGTGCCGTATCGGGGATCGAACCACGACCTTTGAATTTCAAGTCAAGACCTTAAACCACTCGACTACGACACTTCTACAGGTATAGGCTTTTCATAGAAGAGCCTTCAACTTCATTTAAGAATCTCATAGCTGTAAACAGCCAAAGTAAAAACAAAAGAAACACCAAGATTCTAAATAATAAACCATGTTTAAACGATGTGATTGATTCATGTCATTATTTTCTTCAGAAATAATACTTATCAAGTTTACACAATTTTACAAATCAATGTCAAATTCATTGCTAGTAGTGAGTTCGTATATATAGTATATGCTATAAAGAAACTATTATATTAACATTATTTTTCATTGCACATTTCTGATCACTTTATCTTTGTTATCAAATACACTTAATGCACAGACATCAGAATCGAGATGTAACTCACGAGTTAACATGTTAAGACAATCACTGTTAAAATGTCAACAGTATCTGTGAACAAGAGTTATAACTATATATTTCAGAGATTGATATATCTCAAAAGTTGTATAAATGAATGAGTTTAAGAATGTTAATATAAAAATAAAAATTGTGGGAGGATTTGCAAAGGATAACATTGTATTTCAAATGACACCTATACACTTGGTCTGACTGATTTAAATCTAAATCTTGATATATCTTTGAAGTCATGGGAATGCTTTGTTAGATGACAAAAACTTAAGGAAATCAAAGATATATTATATAACAATTATAAAAATTACCAACATTGTGGTTCAACTGTATTAAAAAAATGGGTTGAGGAAAACAAAAATAGTTTAAGAACATGTAACATTTAGCATAATGACACATAATACACCAAATATGTGATTAATATGCCATTTATCAGCACATTATCATAGAAAGCACGCTGTCCTAGAGTCTTTAGAGAAAATCATTTAAAAAAATCTATACGTGTATAACTCTGCCATCTAAAAAAAAATCTTTGCTTCCTGAAAAAATCATACACATTTCTAAAAATATTATGAACCAGATTCTTCTTAATCCAAAATAAATTGAAAGCCATGATTATTTATATATACCGGTATATATATATATATTCATGTATAAAAAATATCAATTTTATTTACATGAAAGTCAATAATGATCTCATGAACCTCATCATATCCACCTTTCCAATAACAATATACATCATCTAGACTTTTTGAGCCATATTCTCAAAAGCTGCCAAACTTCAAGCAAGGTTTAAACCTCACTCAAATGCGTATATTTCATCCAGCAATTTATGGTGTCCTAACTGTCAACTTCTTCCTCATTTACAAATCACCATAAAAATTCTGTAATTATATAAAAACATAAACACTTAAAGATAAAGGTGAGTTCTGGTAATGTGATTGCATTATGAAAGAAAAGGTGTGGAATGGATCATAAAAAGTTGATCATGTAACATGTAAGTATTGGTGTGCACTGCAAGGTTCTGGAGTCATCAAAATCATAATAAATTTGGCCCAGTCTTGGTAAAGTAACAAGCACTGTACAAAGAAAGATGTAAATGGGACTACACAAATGGTGTCGGGGCTAGCTTACCTTGATTTCCTTATCTTTCTATGCTCATTACTCAGCCAGAATACATTTTCTTCCAAAAATTGTTTGGCACATGACATTTATTTGTAATCTTGAACATTCAGTGTAAGTTTCGTTTGATTCTGTGAGAATTCTTTTTTCTTTTTTTTACCAGTTTATCTTTAAGATGACATTACTTTCTCATTATTTCTTAAATGAATCATTGTTTGCTTAGAGAATTAGTAGTCTGCTTTTACCTTAAACACAAAACATATACACACTTATGATGACATTAATCTCTCCTTATTATTTCTTAAATGAATCATTGTTTAATTAGATAATTAGTAGTCTGTTTCACCTTAAACACAAAAAACAATTAGGACATTACTTTCTCCTTATCATTTCTTAAATGAATCATTGTTTAATTAGTGAATTAGTAGTCTGCTTCAAAGCAAGTTGAAAATAAATAAATGATTCTGTTAAACCTCTGTAACTTCAAATTTTTGCTAATAAGGCTTCATCAGAAAAATGCTACGTCATTGTTTATTTATGCCGTTACATAATCAAAGTAATTTGTATAAAACTTAAGGGTCAACACTTGACTTTTAATAACTCAGTGGATTAAATAACTCGTTTTAACTTGGGCCGCTCTCAAGAATATGGGCCTTTGTCTCTGTAGGTAGTGATAGTCACTCATGGTCTTCATTTCACATATTTCCAAGTAATAAATATTTACAACATAAACAATTGCATGAGAAAGCAGAGCAGCAATAGTAACAAAATATAAAAAGTTGATAATATAACTAATATAGTCATATGTATTTTTCCTCTAAATACATATTTCCTGAGCTACTATACTTATCATCATCATCATCATTTCAAGTACTTTCCAATCCCTAGAAAAAGTAAGAGCCAGTCTGCCAGGTCGCACACCACAAAATTGATCATTCATTAGTACTAAGTATTCTTTGGACAATTCTAAAATTCAGAGTTTTCCCATTGAGGAAATGTCTTATCTTTTCACTCAGAGTAATACCCCAAAAATGAGCATTTGGAGTTTTGAAGCACATGTATTCCAGTACTCAAAATTACTGCCTTGTTAATTACTAAAATTTGCATATTACAGAACAAAATTGTTGTCATTTCCTGTGCGATTTCTTTGGAAGAGTCAATTATGTTACCCAACTACAGCTACATGTATAACAAGAGAGCATTTAGAATCTTAAGTATGGCTCAGTCTATGAGAACACCAAATATAAGATGGCCCCAGTGAGGTCTCTACTTGAGTTCTTTTTTGCTGGTATTTGGTAAAGTCAATGCCGTAAAACCACCTACCGCCAACAAGACTGCTATCAATATCATAGGCACAGAACAGTTCAGATCTATGAGAATACCAAACATGAGATTTCCTAATATGGCTCCCATTCTGTTAAACACTGATTGGACTCCCAATGCTGTACTCCTGTAAAGAAGATAAACAAACAAACAGACAGAGACGATGAATACATTTGTATCAATGTGATTTTTTTAAATATGTACATTGATGTTTTAGCATGACTGGCTTTAAAAAGCATCAACAACTACAATGTATCTGTTGATACCTGAACTGGCTGTTGTTTGCAATAGCACAATTTATACCCAAAAGCAGTTATAGAAGACCGAGCATCTGCATACAAACATGATTCATTCTTAAAACAAACCTTATAAATTTATCTTCACAATACAAGAATTGTATTTCTTCATAAACACAAAAAACATTATCAATGTCAAACCCTGATTATCCTTGAGTAAATCCTTATTGAAGTCAATCTTGATCTGAATTAAAGATTTATCAGCTTTCTCGCAATACTGTTACATATCTGAAGTTCCGAACACATTTCAATAGCAGAAAATTGGGTACATAGACATGAACTCACTATTCAAGTAAAAATAACACAATCTTATTTCAGGATATGTTTGGAGTCAGCTCAGATAACAAAATACACCTAGGATCAGTAGGATGGTACAGATTCATTCACATTGCCCCCTTGCTCCATTATTTGCAATTTCCTTGTTCCATTTGTTAAAAACTAAGAGCGCTAAGACAACCCACCTGCAGCTGGTGGGATAGAGCTCAACACCGACCACGTTGAGAGTGTTCCATGTTATGACAGAGATGGCGCCAAACACGCAAGACATGATGAGTACCTGGATTCTTGTCTTTAGGAACCATATGAAGAACACGCTGATGCCAGAGACAATCATACTGGAAGCTGAGATTTAGATACAAGAAGAAAATAAATGAAATGATGTAAGCATGCTTGGTATATCAACATATGAGTGTGTGTGTGTGTGTGTGTGTGTATGTGTGTGTGTGTGTATAATTTGGTTTTTACAGATGTGTATCAATCAGATATGATTATTTACATCTGGGGACCGACCTTTAATGCCACCATCCGAAAGACGTGCCCCCTTATATCTGGCAGGGCATTCAGTCAGTGCTATCCTGTTTTCATTCCAAAGTAGCAAAGATGAGTATTCTCCTCTTAAAATTTTTCTTAAAGCTGAAATAAGAATACTTCTCTCAGTGTACATCAATAATTTCATCTTCCAATAAATGCTACTTACTTATTAGAAACTTTCTACTCAATTTATCCATGAGAAAGATGGTCAAGAGATTTCCAGGTAGATTGGAGAGGGATGTGAAGAAACCATCCACATAGATTCGATCACTTGGTACAGTTGAATTGGTTACAGCTGATTCGTTGAAATAACTGCATGCTGAACCACCATTCTCTACTCTCTTGAAGAGCTCAGGGAACCACATGAACAAACCGTAATATCTGCAATAGAAAATGACATATAGAGTTATCTACCATGAGCTAGTACTATTTGTGACACTATTGTATACTTGTGACACTATTGTAAAAAAAAAAAAACAGAAACACAAGAATGCGAAGGATTTGATTGTTTGGCTTTTGTTGAGCTATAATTATGCATATAATAATAATAATAATAATACTCAGCTTTTATATAGCGCTTATTACAATCACTAAGCGCTTCTAAAATTGGAGATTATTACCCCGGCTTTAGCTGTGCTGCCATTACAGTGCTCTAGCATCTCAAAGAATTAATTCCTGCCAGATACAAATTTACATCACCAGGGTTGAGTGTGGCAAATGTAGATCAATGTCTTGCCAAAGGACATTAGTGCCGTGGAGGGACTCGAACCGCGGACCTTGTGATTAATATTACTGTTGATAATAACCAAAAAGCATATCTACAAAGTTTAATAAATCGTATGAAGATGATTTGCAGCTAATAATTAGGCCTTCTGAATGTGTACTTGGTGGTCAAGCTACTCTGATGAAATTTTGTTGGGGTTTACATGTATGAAAGGATATTCGGAAGGGCCTATTCCTGGTAATGATTTCAAGAAAATACTTACCCAAATGAAAGATTGAATATTATGACAAGCATGGCTATTGTGATTCCTGTCAAAGGGCGCTTAAAAAGTTGCTTGGTGGCCATGAAAAGGGCACCAAACTGTACCCGCAGGGTCATCTTCCTACCATCCGCTGTGTGTTGCTTGTCCTTGCTTGATGGTACAAGATAATCAATCTGAAATAAACCAGAAGCCAAACGCAAAAATTAGGCTGACACTGTATCAGAACGAAATGATACTCGTTTACATGTACATGACTGAGTTTTATTGATACTTGACAGGCTACTTCTATGCTAGCTTTGTGCATCTGAATTCTTGGAAGGAGAAGGGAAATTCTGACTGAAGAGATATAAATCATAACCTTGGGAGATACTAGAAGAAAAAAAAAATTAAACAAATAAACAAAAATAACCTGTTTCTTTTTAGAGTAACTACTCATACATATGGGTACATCATTTCATCTGAAAAAGGCATCTTTTTTTAAATGCATGTCAGAATAATAAAATTCAAAATTTCTGCTAAAATTTAGGGGACAAATACAAAGTAGTCGGGACAAGAGTCAATTTAAAATGAAAATAAATTCAACTGTAATATATGTTAGGACAAAGTGCCCTCTTTTGGAGGCCAAATTGAAAGTCTCCATATTACAAACGATAACTGGACAATCTTAAGTGTAAGGTCTAACCGATAAAGGTCATAGAGTATCAAGATGACATATCTGATTTATCACATCATGCCCAAATAAAATACTGATAAACTTACCGGATAATCACTGGCTTTGACACCCTTATGATTCCAAGAGTAGATCTTCTTCATAATGTCAAGTGACTTCTCCTCATTTCCTTGCTGTGGAATCATACAAGTTAACAGACATTACAATCATTATTAACAAAGAAAGAAGAGAAACTTATGTGAGAGAAAAAAGCAACAACTAGTACACCACTTATTTTACAAGTAGATGCAAAAAATCTTTTTCTCCATTTTTCGTTGTCTTCTTCAAGCGTTTCAATCCCATCTTATCAGAACCAATTAGTAGTATATTTGCTATTCAAAAATGTTTTCCTTCACATGTATGTGTTTTGGTACAAGTGTTTCTCATGTAATACTTTACTTACTATTTTAATTACTATTTTATTTAATATACATGTACTACTGTTCTGTAAGTAGAATATAACTCAAATATATCTGAAGGAACTTAGCTATTTTTTAAAGACAAATTTCTGTTTGAATCTATATCACAAGCTATAGAACTTTCAAAAGATTTTAGTAGAAAAGCTTTTTTTTATGGCATTTAATTTTCTGCACATGATAGATTAAAATCCATTTTCATGAATATGAACAAAGCACATGATCGTCTAAAGAAAACCAACTAATGAAACATTGGCAGTTGATAATCTTTACCTCAAGCAAAAACTTTGGGCTCTCAGGCATCAGGAGGAATGTTAGGACCGATGATGCAGCAGGTATGCAACAAACAGCCACAAAGATTCTCCAGCTCTCATAGCTAAACCCATCTGGGTTGTGGTAACCCAAGTGCTCCCTGGGTATGATAGCCCAAGCGAGGCCAGCAGTCAATATATTGCCAGCCATCCAGAAGGTAGAGAGGGCGCTGATCATCTTTCCTCGATGGTTGTTCGGTTGGAATTCACCAAAGTAGGAGAAGATGACTGGGATTGATCCACCAACTCTGATTGATAGCAAAAATACATTTATGATACAGATCAGGGGGGCGTTGTTATTGTTATAAGCTACTGAAATCCTTGCTTCTGATTGGTTTTCAACAGATTTGTCTCTGATTTTTGTCATTTGTCATTGAAAAAAGGCTTTGTGAAACAGGTCCCAGAAGGAGGATAAAATGAGCTGAAATTTCAGCTCCTGACTAGGAACTCAAGCAGATTTCTGACATCAATCATGTGAATTATTCTTCATATCTACCCAGCATCCATATCATGTAAAAGATGTAATGTTCATGTACATGAAGTTATAAATGATCTCTTTCATTTCTCATTGATAACAATCGTTAATTCAACAGTGAACTTACACTATGGTTTCACTAAAAATACATATACATGTAATAAGCAATTAGTCAGTCTAAACTAGATAGAATTGAAAGGGCAAAAGCCAGGAAAATACAGGAACTTATTATCTCACTAAACTGAATGGATGAATTTAATCATCAATTTGGAGTCCAAAGGGTGTTAACTCATATCATATAACATAGAGTTAATGCCCTTCTGGCTCCAAACAGACGGAAGAGCATCAACTATCACTCAATGTTTAAACATACAGGGTTAACTCACTGGGTTATATTTATGACAATTAATGACAAGTATTGATATATTAGTAGCAATAACATATCTCACCCTACACCACTAAGGAATCTCATGAAGAGGAAGAGCCAGAAGTTTTGACAGACGCTTGAAGCAGCACCAAAGAAAGCATTGCAGGACAAGGAGTAGATGAGGATCTGACGTCGTCCCCGGACATCTGCTAAGGAGCCCCACAGGTAGCCTCCTACTAACATACCTACAAATAGTTCACATTGAAAGTTTTCAGATTAAGGTGCATTTTTGAGAAATCATAAGTTTATTGTTGATTTTTAAGGAATACAGCATGGGTCCAAACAGTGAGGAAACACTGGTATCATTTTAGGAGGAGTCCAAATACTAAGGAGACACTGGTTTCATTTTAGGAGGAGTTCAAATACTGGGGAGACACTGGTATCATTTTTAGAGGAGTCCAAATAGTGAGAAGACATTGGTATCCTTTTAGGAGGAGTCCAAATACTGAGAAGACACTGGTTTCATTTTCGGAGTAGGACAGGTCCTACTTGATTAAATGCAAATTCACAAGATCGTTAATTAGTGTGAGAGTGTGGAAGGGAGTCATATCATCAAATTGTCATTTTCTTGTTCCTCATATACCTTTCTTTCTCTCTCTTCTCCCCCCCCCCCCCCCAACAATTAATAAAAACAGTGAGAAGGATTAGGGATATTTTTATTTTTGTTGTTGTTGGGTGGAATCAACTCTTGGGGAATAACTTCTGATAGCATTAAAACAAGAGCATTGAGTGTTTGCATCTAAACCATGACAAATCCTCACCTGCACAGTATTTCACAAAACCGTAAAACAGTACAAATTCTTCGACAACCTATTGAAATGCGTGTATTGAATATAAGTGTTTCAATGAGATGTCGGTGAAGTTGTACTTATGATGGTTTCATGAAACGATGTCCAGGCTACCAGGGCAAAAACTTGAGTTTGTATGTACTCACCTACAAAGATGATAGACGTGAGAAGTCCTTTCTCAACACTGCTGATATTCATGTCTACAGAGGCGTCAGGTAGGAGGAAGGATACACTAAGGATCTCTACTGCATCACTCATGTTAGCCCATCCACAAACTATCAGTAGCAAGGCATGGAACTTTCCAAAACCTAATCAAACAAGAAGCATCATACAGTCATGTTATTGCAAATGTTTATTCTTCATGTACCTAACCTGCATCACTTCTTTAAAAAATACAAATGGAAGAGCCATTATATTTTCAATCACTTATTGATTCATTTATATAGTTAGTTCATTCATTCCTTCATTTATTTGTATATTCATTTATGTATTCACTTATTTGTTAATAAATATTTATTTATATATTTACCTAATCATTATTAATTCATTAATCTATCTATCTACCGGTATCTATTCATTCATTCAAATATTTTTTGTGGCCTGAGCTGATTTTCTTTTACAACTTGTCTTTAAAGCATTTGAACACATAATGAAAACAAATAAATTTACCTGATGCTTCAACAGCTTCACTGTAACTTGCCCCAACACCGTTTGTTGAATCTGAAAAATAACGGAAACAAACAAAACATTACAATATTTAATCATTATTTCAAATGTCCAGTTCTCTAATAAATATCTCTATGGTAGAAATTGGAGAGGGAAAGTGAACATAAAGACGTTGCATCTAAATGATTTATTCTACCCAGATGATTTTGTACAGAACTGTAATCATGAACACATTCGAGTATACATGTATACATGTGAGTTCCGTCATTTTATGTTCCATGTATAGTAGATGCATCTATAGAGGGTTTCCACAAGCAGCTATATTGGAGGACTAACAATAAATACCTGTGCATTAGACTACGAAAAGTCATTGTTTTCCTGGTCTAGTGCACAGGTTTGCTTTTGTTTTGTCCTCCAAGATGGCTGCTTGTGGTAACCCTCTATAGAAAACATACAGTTTGAGAAGGACAACAAATCTGAGTAAAAGCAAATTCTGGCTTCTATTTTTCCAGCAAAAATGTACAAACTGGTTGTTTTTATGACCTATTCCAACAACTTAACAAAAGCAGGTAGATGTACATATTTATATTTTCTTTTGAAGTTTGATTATTTTCTTGCCATTAATAAAATATCTAATTGTGTATTTCCAATTAACAAAATTCAGTCATTAATAACATAAATGCAAGAGAATCATCGAAAAAACTTGGAATGAGATAAAATCACTGTGATGTGCTTTGAAAAACGTGAACACTAAATCTCAAGATAGAGAGAAAATGATGAATGGTGAAAGGGAAGAGGCACATGGCTATATTATGGGAGGCTACCACAAATTTTGATGAAAAAAAAACCTTAAAAAAAAGAGAAAACAGATAAGGAAATGAATACAAATGTTTCTACATGTAACACTGGAAAGAGCAACTGCAATAATTTACAATGTTTAACTACATGTATGTATCAAAGAGTTATGTGTCAGACTGAAACAAAGAGTATGTTGAAAATAGATATGGTATAGAAACTTGGAAGCAACTAAAAAATGGGGAAAATATAGAGTAATTACAAACAAGGTCAAGATACACATTTAGAGCTTTATGGATTTGCAAATCTAAACAAATTGTGAAATTTCCTATCATATGTATATGTACCAGTTACATATTAATTCATCATATGATATAAAAAAAATGTGTTTTTACAAAGTTTAGTATGTACTTGTATGCAAAGGATTAAACTCAAAACAATGTACATCCCTTTTTCAGTACCTTTCCATATATTCCAATCTAATTTCTGAATTGATAAACATCATTAAGACTGATAAAGAGAAAAATCTGATAACAGTTTCATTACCCGAAAGTGTACTGACCTTGTCTAATTTACAAGTATGTGTACTTTAGGAAGTGACCTACCGGAACATTGACAAGCTACGAGTACCACTACAAATACCTTTATGAGTTTCCAACCTTAGCCTATGGTCTGTACAATATGAATTAATACATGTATGATCATAGTATACATTGTAGGCCTAGATAAACCATCTGTTATCATTGTGTATACAGTTAGATGCCTAATACATGTATTATCCAACTCGAGGTCAAATGATGCATGTACAGTACATGTACACGTAGCTCTCTAAATAATTTAAATGCATTATAAAGTGTAGAGAGAGAAACTGGAAAGCTTGTCAAAAGGAGAAGAAAAAAACAAACCATTGATTAAAAGGTGAATGCTCTTTGATAATATGTTGTGTGCTTGTCTCTGTTTGTTTGTTTGTTTTATTTTCTGCTCTTTTTTTCTTAAATTTCTTCTGAAAAGCGGGATGCGGGCAGTATGTAGGCCTATCTTTCAAAAGTTAAAGTTTGATAAAAATGAAGTTGGAATCATGACAGCAATTTAGATTCCCTTGAAGCAATATTACAGTGTACTGTGTAAAGTTAAGCATTTATTTTTGTTATGTTATCATCCTATTACCTTCAGAATTAAATTACAAAATATGAACCATGATTTGAAAATTAAGTAATAAGAAGAGATCAAGACACAAAACATGAGGTAGGATGTATCATGTTACAGTGTTCAACAATATTTGTACAATGCACAAGTGAATAATACTTACCGGTATATGTACAAATTGTGAAAAGATACGAACTTACAATCGTAAAAAAATTAGTAAAAGTAGAGGTAAAGGTACTACCAGAAGGATGAGCTAATGAGTCTATGAAAATCAATGTATGTACATAAAATTGGCGTTTATAAAAGTATCGTGATTATTCAAGTGGATTCAGATGTTCATATGGAACTTAGCTTTAAAAGCCAAAATGACAACATGGTACCATTAATACCCATAACAAAAAGATTCTCCACTCACATCAATAATATGAACAGTGATGATGACTGATCATTACCGGTATATACGTTTTGCATGTTACTGTTTAAAGTGGAGAGATTGATCCTTTCTGTAAGCTGTAACCAAAAAGTTGTCATTCCTGTTTTTGTCTGATTTTATGAGCTCAATCATCATTAGGTGCTGGTATAAAAAATCTTCAGCTTTCATTGAAAAATTGATTTATTCATCACATTTTTATCTGGATAGTATGATGGCTGCTTGATATTGTATTTTCTTTATGTAAATGAGTTAATGAGACCTTCTCCAGCTTCAATAATCATAATTAAAATGCAGTGACTGATGAGACCATATGGCACAGTTTCTGTCTCCCTGTCTACTATGGTGGATGAATCTGGAAAAAATTCTCAGGCCCCCAAAATCTGGTGAATACTGAGCAGAAAGTTCCAAAAGAGAAAGCTAAGAAGAAACTACATACATGTAGTGTACATGTGCATCAAGATTATTGCAGTAAGGTTGGAGAAGAGTAAAATACATGCCCTTTTCATTTTTGTTGGAGTCTTCGTTTCCCGTGCTATGGTCTACAAGTAAACCTGCAGAGTAATATCATAAAATACACACATACATAGATGTACTCAATAAGTAATGATGAAACCATGACAAAAAATATATAATGGATTGCATGAGAGAGAGAAAACTGAAACCTAGTCTTGGGTCGATCCTTATCAAAAGAGTATCTTGGTCTAATCTAAACTTCCATATTGGCAATCTGATTCATTTTTTTTCAATGGAAAAAAGAAGAAAAGCTAGCAAACAAAAAAAAGAAAGAAAGAAAATGGATACAAAGCAAGTTAAGGAAAAGATCATATCCCTCAATACTCAAACTGATTTCTTCAATTTCTTTGCTTCTGGGACATTGTACATGGTACATTGTCCAGTCAAGATGCAACCTCTTGCCCCTCTGCCTCCCTGACTTGTATATAATGAGAATTATTATTAAAGAGTATGAGTACAAGAAGATAGACCAAGAAGATAGACCTGGAAGCTCGACTGCTGTCTCAGCATTCTTCCAGTATTTGCGGTAAAGGTAAAGGTAATAATAACAACAATAATAATTCAAAAAGTTGAATAGCACATAACAGGATGTACAAGACACAATTGCATGTCTCTATGTGCTTTACAGAACAGAATACAGAAGGAGTGAGATTTCGTAAAGCGCAGCCAAATGCATGCAGAGATGCAAGTTTATTAAATGTATCTAGTTCCATGAAATAACGTGGTGATGTGGTGTACACTTACAAAATCTACAAGCCATTTAATTTCTACTTTCTGTAAATCTATATATTTTAAATCAGAGTAGAATATTAGTATCACTGATTATTACAATACAAATACAAGCACCAGGTTTGAAACGATTGCTGCCTGTATACACTGAAGAGAGTCAAGTCATTTAATCAAATTCATGTCTATGCAATTTAAAGAATATTGGACATGTTCATATACAACTACATGTACAAGTTGAGTATGGTGTACATATCAAATATGTAGATACAGATTATGGTACTGTGGATTATACTTATAGAATATTTTATTACTGTAAGAGAATCAGACATGTACAGAGTCTTAACACAATATTTACTGATGCATTTAAAGAATGAGGAAAGTATAAAACTTACTTGTTTCATCAACTTTCGCTGCATCATCAAAATCTTCGACATCGTCATCTGCCACTAGTCTTGTGTAAGATACAGACGTCGACGTATTCTCTTCAGTAGACATCTTGCAGAGTTGTGTAACAGCTAACTCCACCCATAAATACTCAAACTGGTAGACTTCTATGAAATAATGAAACCAATGAAATTCAAATGAAAAGAAAATCTAAACAAAAGTAGATTAAAACATTATTAGATGCATACAATCTACTGATTGATTGATTGATTGATTTTTATTCGACAAGCTTCCAACATACAACAATATAATAACAGATCAAAAATAAGTCAGCTTGAACAGGCCCGCATCATTTAAAAACCTAACCTGGCCTAGCCATCCTAGCGCTGCATATCATATTTGAATATATGAATATTTGCATTGGTACGGTGTGGTGGAGATCAGAATTAAATCGCCCAGTTCTGAACTAACCAGTATGTTGCAATGATTATGGACACATTACGACCTGGGTAGTCATTCATTTACTGTAAGCCTCAAAATTTTATTGCAATGTTATTCATTTTAAGTAAACATAGCTTTGCACTTGTAATTTTTGTATGAAATCTCATTATTTGACAAATTATCGCATCAGATTATGTGTGCGTGCGTTATTTAAGTATCATGAATATTTATCTCTAGCGCATGATGCATACATGTAGGTTCCTATTGAGCCAATCAAATGAAGCGGTAGGATGGCTATAACTATAAGGTAAGGTTAAAAGAAGACGCCCCCGGCTCCCCCCCCCCCCCCCCCGTTCAAGTCTTGGTACATGATCGATCGATATTTCACAAATAATTTTGATGTGAAGAGACAAGATTGCCTAACCCTAGGGCTAAGCCCTACGCAATTCTTTCTTTGTAAAAACAGTTAAACCGTGTGACGGTCCCTGGATCGAGTCACTCCTAAATGCATGAAGTTGGCCAGAAAAGACAGCCTGTCTGGAATCTCCACAAAATGCGAAAAATTGAACGTTGTTTGTAGGCATAGATATTTTTCCCTTCTTTCTTCTGGGAGTTCTGCTTCTTCTTGGTTTAATTTTGTTTAATATTGTTTAATATGCAACTTGAATTCGGCGTAAATATTCAGGAATGAATGATACACAGCAATAAAAACTGAAACAACAACAACAACGTAAACGGGGGTAAGCTCCTTGGTTAATGGTTGGAGATTTACCTCAAGATCAAGCTCAGGAAATGACCAGTTGCCAGTGCTGCTGCAGTGGGTTTGGCCTTGGAGCCGTGGCAGAAGAGCTATGCATGTACAGGTTGGAGCCGTGGCAGAACAGCGACTGCTTGGCCCTGAGCTCTGGCCGATCTCGAGTGTTGCGAGTGGTGATCCGCGGCGAGCGGGAACCTACTTGTTGTGGTTCACTAATGATGTCAACATGACTCGGCTAAAATTATATCATGAGTTCGTGTCCATGGCAGATTAGATTGACAACATTCACAACATTAGCATAGAGGTCTAGTTCTATTCTGAATATAAATGCTAAGTCATAGTGTCCGTGCCGACACGGAGTGTTGAAGTTGTGTAAACAAATTCAGCGTCTAAATCTAGTAGTCGGATATAAATCACACGCACGATCGATAATTAAATGACTTAATTATTCACAAATTACAGCCCTCCCATTGGCTCATTCGCGCCTCTTTAATTTAGCACAACGCACTCAATCTGTGCCCCCTTTCAATAAAATTGAAGAAAGAAAAAAAAAGGGAAAATGAGAGAATATGAGAAAAGGAGAGAAAACTGGGGATACAATAGTATAAAACAAAGTATGGTATGACCCAATCACCAGGCGCGGATCCAGGATTTCTTAGGGGTGGGGGCCCAAATTTGAAATCAATTTGAAATTTACTTTGTGTGCTGAAATATGAAAATCGTGCCGGCCACTATATCGCTCATTGGAGGGGGGGGGGGGGCATCTCCAAAAAAAGGTAAAATTAACGTTAAATAATGTAAAAATACACATCTTTTTTCCCCAGGGGGGGCCGGACCCCTGCCCCCTGGATCCGCCACTGTCTCACCCCCCCCCCCGCACAAAAAGATTGAGAGAGAGAGAGAGAGAGAGAGAGAGAGAGAGAGAAGGGCAAGAAAGGAAAGGGAAAGAGGAGGTATAGAGCAAAATTTAAGGGAAAGAAAAAAGAAGAAGAAATGGGGGAAAAGACGGAGATCGGGGAGGGTGGGGCTTAATTAGGGCCTTAATTGCCTCCCAGGCTGTTCCCCCCCCCCCCATAAAAAAGGGGAAAAAAGGAAGAAGGGGGATATCAGTTGACATTTTCCCGCCGGGAGGGGGCCCAAAAAGCCTTTGCCTCTCTGATTGGGGGAGGGGTGTCAGTTGCCCCTCCCCTACTAATATAGCTCAAAGGTGGTTTATTTCTAATTCGATACCGGTAATTTAGAAATGTTGCTGAAATGGCATAATTTTCCGAGATTATTCCTCACTTTTTAATAAATTATACTTGTTATGCGTTTGTTGGAAAATGACAAATTCCTAAAATTTCAATCAGGCAAGAAATATGCTTATTTAGAGGCCTACATGTCAGGGCCTCGAAACTGCGGGGCCTCGGAGGCCTCAAGCTCCCCCCCCCCCCCCCCCACTTTTTTGAAAAAGTATATTGAAGAGAATAGAAAGAAAGAGAGAAAGTAACAAGGAATAGTGACCTGCCAATGTCACAAAATAATGAGGTATAAAAATATGCTCATCTGACCGTGATTAAATGCCTTAAAATCCCCTGAGCTTCCGGGGGCTCTGCCCCCTGGATTCCACCTAAGGCCCTAAGGAGGGCCCCCTGGATCTGACAGTAATTTAATGCCTAAAACTCCTGAGCTTCTGCCGGGGCTCCAGCCCCGGGACCCCAAGCCAATTAGTGTCCTGCCAGTGTCACAACATTACGGTTTCAAAATATGCTCATCTGACCGTAATTAAATGCCTATATCCCCTGAGTTTCCGGGAGGCGACTTTGCGTTTTACACCCTGGCCTGGACCTTTTCCCAATAAATTTCAAGGAACCGACTGGGAAAAGTCTATCCATGACAAGATATTGCGCGCGCACGTAGCTCTTCTGCAATGCTCAACGTACGTCCTATATGTCCAGTGTCGCGGTACGCGGTACATGTACTTTTGTATCGAGACGTACGAGTGAGAGAAAAACAACGAATAACAACAGAAGGAAATAGAGAAAAACAATAAATAATTAAAGAACAGAGAGGAAACAAAGAATGTCATAAGCAGAGAGAGAAAACAAAAACTAACTTGAAAGAAAGAGAGAAATTAGAGAAGGAATTAATCAAAGTAAGGAAAGAGAGAAACCAAATAATATTATGGTTTTTGTGGTTTAATTCCGCCTTCTTCAGGGTTTCAATTTTTGACGTGTAGCCTACTTTCAAACCATTTGCTGATTCGGACCCCCCCCCCCCTAACACACGTGTACACATATCGACACATACACAGACTACACTCGACATAATATGTGTAATGGTAATGTAATACATAAACTGTGATTTAAATATTGCACTCGTACCATTTTCTATTATTGTGGGATCACGTCTTTCATTTTTTAAATGTATGTCATTTGTTTCTAAGACCTAATTTCTCTAATTCTCTTGACCCCTCTCCCTTCATATTTGTTTTCTAAGACCCCCCCCCCCTCATCTCTCTTCATATTTGTTTTCTAAGACCCATTTCTCCCCCGCCCCCCCCCCCCATCTCTATTCATATTTGTTTTCTAAGACCTCTCTCTCTCGACCCACTCTCTCTCTCGTATGTATTTCTCAGACCCCTCTTTCTTTCTCACTCATTAACCCCCTCTTCATATTTGTTTCTAAGGCCTCTCTCTCTCTCTTCATATTTGTTTCTAAGACCCCCCCCCCCCTCTCTTTCTCATTTTCTAAGACCTCTCTCTCTCTAGCTCTCAATTCATGATATTTGTTTCTAAGACCCCCTCTCTTTCTCACTTCTTGAATTCATATTTGTTTCTAAGACCTCTATCTCTCTCTCCCTTTCTCTCTTTCTCGTTTTAAATTCATGATATTTGTTTATAAGACCTCTCTTTCTCTCTTTTTCCATTCATCACTTTGTCTAGTGTAATGTACAGACACATATATATAAAGGAAATTATACACCAGTTTTACATGAATTCATTTGCACTTTATTTACTGCTTTACATTCATATACTTTTTTTTTTCGTGAAGGTAATCTAATCCTTCAATGTCAGAGAAGTAATACAAAAGATACAGGAGTATGTGTATGCATAAATAGTTATATAAAGAAGAAATATGTAGTAAAAGTGAAAGCAAACAATAGTAGAAATTTGAACAGATAATTTGACAGTGTGTTAAGATTTAGATGCAAGAAATGACTATAAGAAATTTTTATTTGAAAATACATGCACATGTAGATAAAAAGAGATCTGAACATAGGCGGATTCATGGGCGCAGAGGCGTGCACCGCACTTTACTTTGGAGACAACGAACTGAATACACATAATAATGGATGATACGTGAAAATATTTTTCTTCAGCGAGTAACAATATTTCACGTATTTCGCGAAAATTGATCATCCAATATTATAATTATTATTTAGATACTCCACAGAGATATTGTGATTTATTCACCATTTTTTATAATATGTACTTGTAAACTGCATCTTGGCAATTGAAGCTTGAAACGAGTGCAAATATGAAATTTCCCAAGCATTTATGTGGTGCTGGTGCACAACTAACATGAAAAGTTAAAAATGTTTGAATTTCAAGAAAACAGTAGGCCTACCGTAACACTAATATAATCATTTACCTGTACAAAGTCGAACATCTAGAATTTACATATCCCAATCCAAGTTGTTACTTGAAGTTATTGTGACGTTACAATTATTGAAAACGAAGTAGTTACTTGGATGGTGCAATTTCATATGGTGACGTCACGTTTAATAGCTGCATGCGCACAATCACTAATAATGGCGTGGCTTAAGAGGAAAAATAAAAAAGAGCAACATAGGTTTTATTGTTACTTCACGTTAGCTGAATGCACACAATCATGTATTGACCAATCATAATCTTGTGGGCGTGGCAGAATGTTCATTGCGTCCAATATTTTATGTTATTATGAATTCTCCATAGGCTTAGACGTTAAGAAATGAGATTTAATATTTTAGCTCTCTGAGACGATCGAGGAGCGTAGACTAGACTCATTCAAGCAGTTTCATTGCTATTTACCGGGAAAATGTCCAGGCCAGGGTGTAAAACGCAAAGTCGCTTCCGGGAGCTCTGCCCCTGGACCCCCCCCCCCCGCCGAGGCTTTGCCCCTAGACCCCACGCCAATTTTACGCTACGCTCTACCTGATCGTAAATACTCTAGCCTCTCCCACCTACTCTCTTTAAAAAAAATAGTGAATTTTCACTCTATTTTCACTTTCTTGGGAGTGACGTCCGTGATCACTTGTTTAGGAGTGAAAATCGATTGATTTTAGAGTGCTCTCTAAGAAGAAAAGAGTGAATGTTCACTCTATTTTCACTACATTTTCACTCTCCAGAGGAGTGACGTCCGTGATCACTCGATTTTTTTTAGAGAGTACTTTGAAAAACGTTCAGCGGGGCCTGCATGTAAGAGTGGGGTGATGTGGATTTTTCTTTGTCTGCCCCCATGCACCCCCCCCTCCAAAAAAAAAAAAATCCTGGATCCGTGCCTGCCAATCATCCCCCTCCCCTTCCAATCAATAGCCTTGTTAATTCGCATTTCATCCCCTATAGTATAAGACAAGTAACCCCCTCAATATATAGACAGACAGGCTACGCCAAGCCACTAAGGTCACACAACCCATCATGATTATTGTCATTCCTATTTCTATTACGTCTTCATGGCATAGTTTTTAGTGTGTAATACAATTGCCTTATACTACAAACATATTTCGAGTGTTTCTTATTCTCTGTTTCTTCTTGCTTAATTACGTATATAGACTAAAGGTTGTAGGATAGCTCATGCGATGTATTGCTCCTCTTCAATTTCCTACACTCGCCGGATTCTTAACTTCAACTCTGGATCTAACACAATAACTAACTCTAACCATAATCCCAAACTGCAACCATAACCCTATACCTTTGACCAGGCGCGTACGCAGGCTTTTTTCAAGGGGGGGGGGGGGGGTTTAAAATTTATAAATCGGGCCGAAAATTTCGCAACGACTCAGCCAGTTGAAGCCGGGGGGGGGGGGGGGGGGGGTAAGAGGACACTTTTTTTTTTTTTTGGTCCCCCCAAAATCGCAACGAGTCAGCAAGCCGCTGAATAAGCGGGGGGGGGGGGGGGGGGGGGGGGTTGGGGTAAGAGGACACTTTTTTTTTTTGGGGGGGGGGGGGGTCTCGAAATTTGAAAATTTGACATTGCTCCGTTGGGGGGGGGTAAGGTCAGCTTTTTTAGGTCAGCCATGGGAATATTTTTTTTTTAATTTATTTTTTTTAAATAAAAAAAAATAAAAAAAAAAAAATCCAAGGGGGGGGGGGGGTTTACACACAGAGGTTAACCCCCTCCCCTGTGTACGCGCCTGCCTTTGGCGAAATATAGCCTGGGGTAACTGTCGCAGGAGCATAATTATGTCGAGTCACCAGGATAAAATATGTTTGACTTAAGTTTTACAGTGATATCTTTTCAAACATGTATTATGATCCTCGTCGATGCTATTGTCTAATCCGCATCGTTTACTATAGCTAAGAGGCATTTACTCATCCTGTATATTTTGTAACATGTACTGAATCAGAGGATCGACTGATCGAGTTAATTGCACCCCATTATGGTTGATCAAAGTAGTGCAGTGTTCAGCTGCAAATGTAAAGTGTCACTCAAAATTCACACGGTCGTAAACACTTTCGAAATATCAATTCAAGAGCAATTTCAATACCGATGTCTGTACATCCCATGTAGAAATCATATTGGGATTCCGTAATGTGCCATTGTAATGTTCGCAAATAATATCACAATAGGTGATGAGGACAGATGAACAAGGCTGTTGGCAGTCTTTGCGATCATATTAATAGCAAAACCCTCATTTGCAAATCATTCTAATTTGACTGGATTTAAGCCCCACTGCACTACTGCATAACTACTTGCGCCCTCTACATAGCAAACAATGCCTAATCCGTGACCGCTGCTCCCCATGAAACCCTTTTTCTTATGTTAATTGGAGCTGATTTTATTTGATTTGATTTGATTTGATTTGATTTGATTTATTTATTCGTCCACAATGTGGAAATATGCTTCCCACCAGCATTACTATAATACAAGAAACAGAGTACAATAATATGAAACATGCAAAACAATTAAGCAAACAATTTCAGAACAGAAATTAATAATTTTTACGCCATCCAAAATTGTTAAACTTGATTAGATCATTAGAAATATTAGAGACAATCACCTGTCAGTGACCATGCAGGGAGGTCTAATCTCTCCTGGCCAAACTAGTGCAGATAGGCTTTAAACAGCGCGTGTAGGCCATGATAATAAAATCTCCCAAATTTGGCCCTTTTCCCCTCATTTCAGTATCATGTCGGCTGTAATGATTTTGATTGATTAGTTAGTAACATGATTATAATAAAATCATCCAGCTATTCAATACACAATGAAGTGCAACCATGATAGAGGGACAGAGACAATGGAAAAAGGAACGACAGATTATCCATAGCGCTTTTATAGTTTCAAGACACTAAAACTGATGCAGCTCTAATGTCTCCACCTCTCTCTCTCTCTCTCTCTTTCTCAAGGGGGTCAAGTCCAGTCCTGTAAGGATCAAAACTCGAAAGAGACCCATGGCAGAGAGAATGGAAGAGATGGGTGGGAAAAGGGAAAGAGAAAATGAGGAAGAGAAGGGTAGATAGAAAAAAGAAGTTAAATTAAAAAAATAACGAGAGAGGCGGAAAGAGGCGCATTAATACTTAAAGGATTATTATCTGTTATCACATAAATATTCAGTATAACATTTTGTTACAGATTGTTCATCTTGCAGGCTAGGTCGTAACCTTTGACTCTATAGTATAACGTGATTTCAAATTATGTAAAACTCTTTCATATTATTATAATTAGCTCCGAGTTTAACCTTTTCCGAAAAGTGCAAAATCATTATTTTGCGTTTCGCAGTGTATTTTGTTATTTTGTTTACCATTTGATAAGCTTTTCAACTTGCCTACGTTCTCCCAGGGGCATATACATTTTGAACTTCAATGAAGGTTAAGTCAAGTCATCTTGTTTGCCTTTTGAATACTGATACCAACACTGCCATGTAAACACTCATTGTAGCGTGGTGAACTTGACTACGGTAGATGCAGAGGTGTAGCGTGGCAGTCCAACCACTGAGGAGGGGAGGGGGAGGGGTGGTGGAACCCCGAGTTAGGTGGTTTAAATGTGGAAGAACAAGGTCGTTTTGTGCGCGTGAGGTTGCGGAAGTGTGCAGTCATCTTATTCTAATGTTACCTCCCCCCCCCCCTTTCCCCCCCCCCCCTCTCTCTCTCTCTCTCTCTCTCTCTCTCTCCCTCTCTATCTATCTCCCTCTCTCTCTCTCTGTCTCTCTCCCCCTCTCTCTCTCTTCTCCCATCTCTCTCTCTCCTTCTCTCTCTCCCTCCTTCCTTCTTCCTCTCTCTCTCCCCCCCCCTCTCTCTATATTTCACAAACACACACGCAATCTCTCGATCTTTATATCCACCTTTTCTCTCTACACACATTTTCCCGCCATTCGAGGTGCCCTCCCTACCTCCTATAGCTACGCCACTGACTAGCATAAAATATCGTAAAATATTATTTTGGTCTACCAAACTCAATTTGGGCCATCCCACGCACTCGCATTCCTGAAGGTAATAATATTCCAGGTCTCTCTGATATGCGACATAAAAGGAAGGTAAAGAAACGCTTGAGAAGTTTCTGATACAAAAATCAACAGAATTAGCTAGGAGAAGAAGGGATATATTCTTTTGAATGTCGTGCGCTGCCGAACGTCCTATACGTACTTCGGATCCAATACCTGTTTACAAAACCACTCAAGCGAATATACCAACAATATTGGCTGAATCAGCTGTGGTATGCATTGTAGCCTGTAAAACATTGCAGAGGAAATATTACATAATTATTATGTTCATAATGTTGTTCAACCGAGGTATGCAATTACTAGTCCGAGTAAATTCGGCAGGTTTGTTGCCAAAATGGCTTGCGACTATTAAAGCGCATCTTGCTAATTGGGGAAGAAGTCTTGAGCCCAATAAATTAAACAATATTTTTTAGCTTTGATCGTCTGTAATCTGTTACAAAACACCTGTAAACTGGAATATGCTTTCAGGGGATCACATGCAGCCATGGACTCGAGAAGACTGTAAACTCAAAGTGAACCTTCATCAATATAATTTTCTTCTGACTCGTTCTGACTGAAATATCAGAGGATATACCAAAATAACTACTGTTTTAAACTTCAACTTGAGTGCGGACTTTTCTTAACCCTTGATATTTTCATGGGCGAAACTTTACGATTCTGCATAACAGTTCACCTTTTTGGCCGCGTTCCAGTTGATAATTTTTGTTGTTTGAAAAAAATACCGTGAAATACCTTTGGAATACCTAAACTGTCATCAAGGGATTTCTATCAGACGTATATTTGTATGCATGTGTGTTCGTATTTGTGTTTACAATCGCCAAGCCAGTGCAGTGATTTAAGCGCACGATCATTCGAGCATATTATTTGAACAGGCCAACCTATATACCTCACGCCTACGTATAGCCAACCAACGCAAATTTAACAGTCAATTTCCTTCAGGAAAATATATTTGAGAGGTAATTCAGAGGTTTCAGAGGTTTAGAGGTTAACAGCACAGTGTCTCGTGGCAGACAACGTACGAAAAGGAATTTTCATAACTTTCCGAGATCATAGCGAGAAGTTCATGTGGGTAGGTCGACTTGGCCTGTATGCGATCAACTTCATATAGCAGAGACTGGTCCACTTTAGAATTGCACGTCGGAGTATCAACACAGAAAGCGAATTGGCTAAACTATACATTATCACGGATCTTTGATTTGGACTCTGCATAGTTTGAGAGAATTAAGAGAAACCTCGACTATTGGAGTCATTAAAAATTGTTTTCGTTTACCACTGTCGCTCTAGATATCAAATAAGAGCGATTTTTATAATCATTGTGGTAGGCCTATTCATAGCTGCTTATGACTGCGTTGACTAAACTACAATCTCATCACAGAGTCACGACATAGCGTATAGGGAGTGTCAGGGGGTGTAGCAGACTACATTATGTTCACAAATTTGTCACGTGATGCAGGGCACACCCGATAGTCGCTGGCTGACGGCTTAAAACAGAATTACACTTGAATAATGTTGAACCCTGTGGATATATGACTCGTCTTGGTTTTAAGGATTTACAACTCTCTTGATATCAGTGGGATTAAAACAGCTGAATTCTTGCTCGGTTTACTCATGGAACTACTTAGTACGTCCATGGTTTAGTCGAGCCCCCAAGACCCTGCCAAAACGAAGGTCTTTAGCTTAGCTCTTGCGTAATCTTCTCATCAGATCCCTAGCCGGAAATTCTGAGACAGAAAATCTGTGAATCACACCAACATGCATTCAAGACGGTGATGCGACTGAAAACCATGAAGGCTCTTGCTCACGTTTATATACGTACATCAAACCTAGATAAACAAACATTATTATAAGCCTTCCTGTGTCATCTTTGAGGTACTAATGTGTTGAATCGCCTCTGTTTATATACTTCAAGCTTGATATTATCTGAAAGAATGACGATCATCATCAAAGTGTCGACTCCTGTGTCATCAAATTAATGAAGACGTTCAATTATGATCCATTGAAAATAACCAAGATCATCAACTTGCATTAAAAGTGCTTTGCAGTAAAGAAGAATTTGCTTTTCTCCTTCAAGATGAATAATAATTCAGACAGCAAAGGGTCGACGAAGCGAGCATCCAGAAAACTATCGATGCCGAAATTTACCCGCCAATTTTCGTCCACGGACTTTGTCAAGAAGCTTAGCCCTGATATTAATTTCGGGAAAAAAATTAAGCCTGAAATCGGGAAAAAGTTCTGGACGTCAATCGGAAGAATGTGGGCTACAATTTATGAAGGTAAGCTTATCAACATATTGAAATAGGAACTACGAATATTTTATCTATTATCATTATCTCATTTTTCACGATATTCGCCTGGTAATACTTTGAGTATCCAGGCAATAGTCGTTGGGATTGAATATTTTTATATACTTTCTGCTGTTCTTTAAGTCTGTAAGTTGGTAAATGACAACCGCCCCCCCCCTCATTCACACACACACATGCATTAAATACATGCATGCATTGACATTTACCATTCAAAGTTTACATCCAAAGATTCAGAGGTTTTTGTTACCTATCTACGTTGCAAATGTTAATGTCAATAATGTCATATATTTTATGGTTATTAGCGTATAATGTTAGTGTGTTGACAATTTGGCTGAACGCCAATGTTGCTCGACTCCCCCCCCCCCCCTCCCCCTCCTATCCCCATTATATTGTTTATTAACGACGTACAAAGAAGTTTCAGCCAGGGCTCGAAACGCTCGAGTAATTGTATTTTTAGCTGCATTAGCAATATATTGGCTGTTGTTTGTAGGCCCCTAATTGTTATCAATGATATCCAAAAATGTATGGTCTATAAGTAGCAAGCAAATAAAGAATTGGCGACTTGCCTAATGCAGCAAGTGGGCCTATGTAAAGGTAACATTACAGACTGCTGTAGGCCAGTAATGGCTTTGAAAATGATAAACACATCACATCATTGTGTATTAACAGAAGCGGATCTAGAGGGGGGGGGGGGGTTGGGGGGGTTGCAACCCCCCCAAAAAAAAATCCGGGGACCATTTTTTTAAATCTTATCTTTTTTTTTAAACTTGTAATTTTATTTTATTCTATTTCTATGTATTTATTTCATTTATTATTATTATTATTATTATTATTATTATTATTATTATTATTATTATTATTATTATTATTATTATTATTATTATTATTATTATTATTATTATTTCTTTTTGGGGGGAGGGGGGGGGGGTTGGGCGAACAAATGTCACAGAGTCCCTTGCCCCCCCCCCCCCCATCAGCTTTTTTGAGGACACGGGCCACCGCCGAAGTGACAAGCTAGGCCAGCGTTGCCGATTCTCATCCCCAAAATCCCCACATTAAAAAAAAAAAAAAATTGGGGGATTGTTGAAGTCTTTGGGGATGAAAAATAAATATTTGGGAATGAAAATAATATTGAGTTTTATGAAAAACGAATTTGGGGATTTTCTGTCAAAATTTGGCAACTTTGGGGATATTTTAAGTGTCGTTTGGGTGGGCATTTAGTGAAGATTTAACGCACGCTGAGCTGGGCTGCTCATTTCCTGGATTACTTGTTCAAGTTGCTCACTTTTTTATCAGTCTGGTCTGCCAGTGACAAGCAATATGGAAGCAAACAGGGCAAAGAATTAAGTTGCGGCAATCCAGTCTCGCATCTTTTTTTACTGGAAGGTATGTTTGAATCATGCAAAAAAGTTGGCATACAGGGTAAATTACCATACATGGGGGTGTAATACGGACGTGTTCATGCACTGCTTTTTATGGTCTCCATTGTGTGAATAGATGCCAGGAAAACATCACTTACGGGGTTCAAATAAACACCCCCAAAAAAATCGGCTCGCCGCTTCGCGGCTCGTGGACGATGCTCCGCATCGTCATTATTGGTCAACCCCCCCTTAGCAAAAAGCTAGATCCGCCCCTGATTAAGCAATATATTTTACAATTTAATATACCATGGTCAGATGATAGAAAATTTACTGACTATAAAGATAAAGGCTGTACTAAACTTATTAAATAAAGTTTTCCCGGAATTATGCGAATCTTGTGGAAAATGTCGGTTCATACTTTGGAGTTCGCATTAGTATGATTAAATATGACATGGGTGATTGTCTATTAAAAGTATTTTCAGTAGGGGTCAGCACAAACTGTCGGATATTCATCTGAGTCATTAGCTCTGCAAAACCCCTAGAGCCATTAACCTGCAGTTAAGCTCTATTGCTAATCTGCAGGCTACTATTTTAAACTTTTCTTTTAATCTCATACATTTGACAGGGAATCAAACCAGATAATTCCATAATGCATCATAATATCTGTAGTGAGGCTCAATTTTTTGAAGTCGGGTATATAATGTTCGTTGCCGTGAAAATTGAGAGAGTTAATTTTAAAACTACAGTATATTAATCAGTTTTATTATTAGCCTACATTTTTTTTTACACTCTGAAAACTAAAATGTTAAATCGCAATTTAAAAGGGCCGAGGAGTGACCACTCTTTCAAAATGTCAGATTGATACTTTTAACTTGCTGGATTCAACCTTTATAGTGTTGGATCCAGCATGTTAAAAGTGTTAATCTACCATTCTGAAAGAGTGGTCACTCCTCGGCCTTTTAATGGTGATTTAACATTTCAGTTTTTAGAGTGCAGTTTTTTTTTGTAATAGAACCAGTCTCTTTTTATCTTGTCCACATTCTTGTATGATAAGGGTATCACAGTAGTCAGAAAACAAAATAGTTATGCAATGGAAAATACAAACAACGAAAACAAGAACGTGTATTCTGTTCTGTAGCTTATGTGTGTATAGGCCTAAACAAACTAATATATTTGTGAACTACATGTGATATATACTTGAAACGTTTAGTTTGTAGGCCTATAAACAAACTTATAAAGTTTTTTATTCGCCAATAAAAAAAAGACAAGACTTCCAATATTTGTTTATAATAGGCCTTAATAAACAAGACTAATTCTGTCTTGATAGGTTCATACATAGCCTTACGAATTCAAAATCAATCCGATATGAATATGTTGTTGCTTTTTGGTTGAAAGTGGCACCTCGACAAAATATACTTAGAAACGTTTTTTTAAATAGGCTTAAAACAAACTGAGCAGTTTCGTGTTTATTGGCCTCAACAAACGAGATCCTCTGGTCTTTAAATCAAAGAAACTTCTTGTCGAAGATCCTGTCCTAAAACAAGACGCCAATAAAATTATCAAATCAATTCCAAATAAAATTATATTCTCTCTATTTAAAATGGGTTGAAACAACAATGATAATTGAAATATTAAGTGAAGTGATATCTGTAGCTCTCTCAATGCTTTTTTTTCAGTATCACAGTGCATTATAAATTAACTATAAAAGTACTTATTTTGAAAAATGAATATTCTTGCCAAGATAATGAACACAATTCAACATGTACGAGTAATTTGTCAGCCATTAGTTGAAAGTCACAGACTAAAAATATTCCCTTATTTTTCGGTGTATTTAAGGCTATTGAAAATGTTGAAATGTTATTGAAAAAGACATAGACATACTAGGTTGCTTCTATACTCTACCTTTAAAGTGTCCTTAGCAGATTGTTAATTGTATCCAGTGACTCATATTCTCATTACACTGGGATCATGCATGGGGCTCCAAAGCCGGCTAAATGTAGGAAATTAACTTGATTTTGAAGACATTTTGAGAGAATTCGTATACATCCTTCCGCTTGGGAAATTGCCCGGTGGGATTTCAGTTACAAAATTAGCTTTTGGGGCCTTCACACCAGGCAATGGTAAATAGTTGTGACAACTTGGCCTTCACGATTATTTTGTTGAAGTCTAACAAAAATGACTTCCCTCCCGTTTTCTGTAAGCGCGATTTCTCAGGCCATGCTCTATTCACCACATTTTTGTATCCCACTCCCATTTAATAATAACAATAATAATAATAATAATAATAATAATAATAGTAATAGTGTTAACTTACACCGTCCAGGGACGCTCATGGTGCTAGCTCAGCAACAGTTCTATTAAAGCATTTGTTTTCCTTTCGGGGAGGGGGGGGGGGGGTCAAAAAAAATCCTCACATCTCTTAGAATCTCTTTCCAATAAAATTGTCTGATGAAAAGGAAAACAAAACAAAACAAAAAATAAATTTAAAAAAAGGGGGAAATAATCCTCACATCTGGGGATCCCTTATCACTGGAAAAGGTGGAAATATGACATAAATCATAAGTGATTGTTTTTTGCAGTGGGGAGTTGCTCAAACCCCTAGAACCCCTTCGTTTTACAGGCCTTTATCCATCCCTAAAAACTCACTGTATCTAATAATTTTCATTTGCCCCAGTTGACCGTGGGTGCCATCTTTACCATTAGTGTGCACCTGCCCTTTTTTGTCGGAGGGGGGGGGGGGGGGGGAGGAGGGGTTATTGACCACTTATTTGATTTTCTTTGTAAAATAACGTTATTTTTCAAGACGTAACATAATAGTGTGTTGGTAGAATTATGTGACAAAATCGTTGTTACACAAACAATACCCCTTGTCTTCTCCGTACATTGTGCATAGAAGAAGATGTGGGTAGGCTATGGTCTCTCTATAAGATTTGTATAATATTGATCACGTTGAAGTTCAAGTGTTTTAGAATAGACACGCAGATTATTGTTCTGTTGTAATGTTTCGTTTTGATTCTAACATCATAGTTATAGGTCATGTGGGCTATAGATTCTGCATTTTTACAATTTTGTTAAATTTTATTTCTTCCTGTCACACTTCCTATATTCAAGATGGGCATAAATTATGTTAAGCTGTGTTAAAGGTGGGGGCACAGAGGGCAGATGCATCCCAAGGGATGAGGGGAAATTAAGAAAGGGGTTAAAGAGTGGGTGAGCGAGAGAGTAAAAGAGAGAGAGAGAGAGAGAGAGAGAGGGTAAAAAAGTGAGAGAGGGGTGGGAAAGGAGAGAAAGAGAGGGGAAGGGGGAAAGGAGAAGGAAATGGGGTGACAGAAAAGGAAGGTTAGATGGGGAAAAGTAGGAGGTGTGAAAAAGAATGAGAGACGAGGACGCCATTATGCCACGCCGCCCCTCTCACCCTCGCCATCTCATCGCATTCAGTGCCTCCCCACTCCCCCATTATTTGTCCCTTGTTACGCCACCACCAATGGTTTCCTTCATAAAAGTTATATTTTTGCCAAATAATGCAACTTGGCCCTAAACTGTAATTCTACCTTGTTTGTTGCTCAGAAGGAAAGTTAAAACAAAAAGGAAAGAGGTTCGTAAAATGGA